AATAATGACATAAAAAAATTTTGTAGAAGTTACGTTTTTGATCGAGTATCACCTCGAATCACGTAATCAAGTAATCACCTCAATAAATTGAATATCTTTACATTTGAAGGGAATTTGCCACCAAATCACTTAAGCGGCTGAATATCTTTAAAAGGGGTCGTGTATAACGTATATAAAATTTTACCCCCTCGGATGAATGGAAAGACAACCTTGGATACTCCACAAGTACCAAATAATTGAATAAAATTCTGCGTCGTATGGTATATGGCTCATGTCATTTGGCCACCTCAGCCTTGTAACCGTCCCTTTTAAGCTTTTCGCTTCTTTACAGTCCTGTTTACAGGCTAAGGCCGTAATCTCCTGCCAAATACGGGGCTTCCTGGGCGCGGTCGGCAGCGCGTCAGTCTCATAATCTGAAGGTCGAGAGTTCGAGCCTCTCAGGGAGCAGCGATTTTTGCTTTTTTGAGAATTTTTTGTTAAAAACGGTAGAAAGTTGTTTTTTTTATTCATTTTAGTTCGTATTGCCTATTTTCAAATTCCAGACATAACCGGTTTCCTCAACTTTTGCTTTATTGAGAATCAACAGCACCGAATGGCGACAATTCGAATGGCGACAATTCGAATGCCAACAGAATACTCGCCATGGAAACAAGACAGGTAAATGGAAAGAAGTTTGACTTAAATTTGAATTTGATTGAGTTTTATTTTGAAATCGACAAAATAATCTAAAGAAGGATGAAGTCTGTCGAGGAAAATGGATGGAAATCGATGGAAATGGCAACTTTCACTCGATTGACAAGGAGCCTGAACGTTTAAAAACTATTGTTTTTGTCTTTGGGCATACTTTTTATTAGTTAGTGACACTTTTAAATTATTATTAGCAATCTGCTTTATTTATCAAACATTTTCAAATGTTTGACAATGTTTGAAATGTCTGTGGATACACTCACTACACTCTTCTTTCTGTTGAACTCCTTTAAATCTATTTTTTTACACACTTTTAAATCATCTATTACTCGAATGCACATATCTGCTATAGCTTGAATGAAGAAAAAGAAATGAATGCATATTGAAAAGCGAGGTAAAAATCGAATTGGCTTTACAGAGTTCTCGGGGTCGACGACGATGATGAGGCAGTACTAAAATTAAAGCTACATTGCTGCATTGGACTTGGAAAATTTCAATTAGGTTTCAATGTTTAAGTTCAGAAACGGGGTTGGTGGGAAAAGAGCCGGAAAAGTATAAGTATGCCTAGCTCAAGACAAAAGTCCCAAACAAACCTAGTAGATGCAGTGGTTGATGATGAAGAAGCAGTTGGAGGAGGCTGAGCGCCACGTGATGACAGATCCGCGGGGCCCCTAAATGGGAAAAATGACAATAAGAAGAGAGATAGACAGGTAAGTCGATGAATCAACTCACATTGACGGATGAGCGGCGGAGGAGACCGGAGCTGGAACCTCAAGAGAAGTTGAAAGTGAGCTGAAAGAAAGATCAGTAAGCGAATAGATCCGACACATGATAAATTAGTTAATAATTTGACAAATTGGTAAAGTACAATTTCAAAAAGAATAGCCAACCTCGGAATTGTCGTGGTACCGCCTGAGGTGGAAGTGGTGGTCGAAGTAGAAGCATTGGTGGATAGGCTAAAACGAATTTATGTGCATGAGGTGCCAATAAACTAATTTTCAATCAAATCGATAAGTACCAACCGCTGATTTTCTTGTAAGGTTTGTGCGACTGGACTGTTCGCTGGTGCTTCGGCAAGGGGAGGAGGAGGAGCAATACGAAGCTAAAATGAATATGATCAAACGATAATGCTCAAAAAACCCAACCAAATCCAATCCGAGAAGACCCATCAACATTTGATCGACAAGAGCCATTTCTTGAGGGGTAACACTAAAGGGAAGATTCGAATAGAAGCAAAACATGCAAACAAACTTTCGTTCTGGCGGTGTGCCGGCGACTGCTTGAGTGGACACGGTCGGATGAGCGATTTGTTCCTGTTCTTGTTGTGCCTCTTCGCCATCAACTTCCGGATCGTTGTTGAAAACCAAAAGCCCGGCCAAACCCGGGAATTCGTCGAGATTATCCTGAAAATGGAAACAAGAATGGAGTCAATCAAACTGTTCACAACTTGATAAAAATTTTCTGATCCAAAACCTATCTAATTTAAAGCTATTATTTGGTAAATTAAACCATGTAGAGCCACAAATTCCAACTTACAATTTGATTCGGATCCGAAATGGTCGAACGAGCTGTATGAACGGCTGGAGAACGGGGTGGCGGTGGATGGAAGACTGGACGGCTAAAAGGAGGAGATTATTGAAAAAAATGGCTACTTTCAGAACTTCGCTCAAGAGTGTCATTACAGGCTTAACAGTCTTAAAAGAATAAACGTTATGTTGGACTTTAAGCTACAGTAACAGGCGCCCTCTAAAGATCTAAAGATGATAATAAGTGATGAAAGCTTACACAATTGGAATCACCGTCGTGTTCAGTGCTCCGGTCACCTCGGGTACACTCACTTGCCAAGACTCGGGTGCCTAAACGACGACATTAACAAAAAAAACGAATTTCTTCAACAAGTTACAAGATCTAAAGGAATTTCTTGATCTCTTAGGCAAGGAAACGAAGAAAACCACACACCATGATTGACTGTGGATTGTTCCGAGCGATGATTCGATTCACTGGTCGATACGGATCACACCAAAATGAGTCAGAAATCTGAATGAATATGATTAGAATCAGTAGAAAATGGCAAAAACCCACCAATTTCCGTTTCTTAGGCATTTGATTCATATAAAGCCCGTTTTTTACAATGGCTGTATCGCTTCGAATGCGCTCGATCTAAATTGGAAAACGGTTATGGTTCAAACTTGACCTCGCATTTGTTCTAAAACTATCGGTTTGCTAACTATTTAAATCTTTACCTTGAATCTCAACTTCAGCGTTTGCCATACACGCGTTTTCGGCTCACTAATCGTATGTCCAACGAGGTAAAGAGTCTAAAATGAGGTTAGTGAGAGATGCCACCATAAAAGTATCACCTTAAGATTTGGTGGGAAGAAATTGTGAAGACATTTCATGAAGGATTCCTCGTGAAGCATTTCACAATGCATTATCAACGTTTCCAAGCGGGTCAACGATCTGAAAATTGAGTAATACAGTCAATAGCTGAGTGGCTATTCCATTGCAATAGTATTACAAGGTCAACTAAAGTATAAGCTTACTTCAACGAGAAAGGGATCTCAAATTGTGCACCATTAAGCGGACGATAAAGCGTGAAAAGCGAGGCCGGCAGGCTCAAATGCACCAATTGGGGCAAGCGGTCTAAGAAATGAAATATCACATTTCATATCATGAAAATATCATATTTTCACAAAAAATTGGCAAGTAGCCAGTCACAGTCAAAGCTTTCCAACTATAGCCATCACAATTTTAAAAACCACCAACCAAAATGGACGTGTTTTTGCGCGGTGAGTGAATCGACGAGACATCCGCCCAAATGGAGCTCCTGCAGTGATGTGAGGGTGAAGATCTTCTCGAGGATCTAGAGTTGAGAATATAATCATGAGATACTAAGGTACTACTTATAGGCAAAGTGTATAAAAGCAGGCAAAATCGTACCTCATTTCGCAAAGCAATCCCGTCCAAACGCAATTTGACAAGAGTAGGCGTGAAGAGTTTCTGAAAAAAAGAATTGTGCTGGGAAATTGAAAAATTGAAAGCAAGAATGGATCTTTTGACTAAATTTACATCCGATCAAGATAAGATTACCGCAAGCATGCTAATTGCGATAAATTTTGCACGGGGCAGGGCAGATCCTAAAGCCGATCAACCAAAAACCTGCTTAGGAGTCACAAGTACGCAAATATTGCTTGTAAATCTCACCTCGATTCCCTCGAGTGTTAACTGTGTACTTGGTCGATTGATGGCCTCCAATCGGGGTACGATGCTCAGCGAGCGAAGAAGGGGAAATGCGCATTTGAATGAAGGGAAACGACAACCATCCGGCGTGCTGAAGGAAAAGAAAATAGAGAAAGAATAGAATGGAATATAAAGGCATAAAGTTGAATCCAACCAAAACGTACACTTTGTAATTTAAATTCGCAATAGACAAGTGATGAATTGAGGCGGAAATCCTCGAGATCGCCTGCACGTCATCCGGGAAAAGCGATGATTGAATCAAGATCTAAAACAAATAAAAACAATGTTAAACTAACGTTTCAAGCGTCGAGAACGTCTAATGGTCTACAAGTTCACTAAAACACTCACCTTCTGCACTCGTGGACATTGATGGAGAAGGCGATCGATGAAATTAGTCCCGGCCAGCACGCTTTCAAACTAAAGCATAAAAAATCTAAGCCTTACACTAAAATATTCAATATATTTAAATTTTCCAAGCTTAAACTATAAACTATTTTAAAATTTCGGTTTAAACGTAAGCAGCTTCTAAGTTTAGCCTTTGGTTAGCTTTTACTATAGATTTTAAACTATTTAGATCACATCGGACCTTTAAGATTGGAACAAAAATCAAAGATGCAACTAGATAGTTAATAAAATGCCATCCACACCAACTACTAAAGCATAATAACAAGCCAAACCTTTTCAATCCGAGCCGAGAATTTCTCTCCAACGATCCTTGCCGCATCTCCATCCAAAACGATCATCGTCACATCGTCCCATTTGCCGAAAACGCGGTAGTGCCTGGAAAATAAACGGATTGTCAAAGATTAAATGAATCGTTAAGTAGAAAAAGAAGTCTAACAGGGCATAAAACAGCTGCCAAATGTTTGCACTATAATTTTGATCTTTTTGAGTAGGCAAATCTTAAAGTACACATTTGCTTGAATGTTCAAACAAAATTGGAAAATTCAGTCTACAAACAAAATTAGCTTGGGTTTCTAAAAACTGTTCCGCACACCGTATCCTAATGTGTCTTGTTTTCGTTATGTTCAAGGGAGAAATTTTGGTCATATTCATTTCTTTTCTTTTCGAAAATGAGTGTGTTCAAGTCGCTCAACTGTATCCTCTGCAAGGAACCGTGTGAGTTTTTACCTTTTTTCGGCTCTTTTCCAATATCGGGGGAGCGGTTCGATTATCGGGGGAGCGAAAGGAAAATCGGGGGAGCAAATTTTGGCAGCGCTACATATGTCCTATTTAAAATTGTGACGAGCGGGAGCTTAGTTTGTTGCAAAAAGTTATCGACTCGAATTCCTCTTGAATGCTGGGGGACCTTTCGCCGTGCGCAAGTGTCACATACCCAGCGAAATAGATCTTTTCCCTTTGAGCGGACTTTCATCAATTCGCCACAGTTGCAAATCCACGACTGGATGACTCCTTTGGTGACGAAATAATCGATTGCCGTCGATTCCTTGAACGCACAAATATCGGAGAAGCGCATCGTTGTTAAAGTTTTAAAAAAACGTTGGAGTTAAAATACAGTCCCGGAAATGCATTTTTCGAGGGGGCAAAATTTGCTCCCCCGATTTTCCTTTCGCTCCCCCGATATTGGAAAAGTACCCTTTTTTCGTATTAAGCGAAGGCTTGGGTGAATCCAGGCTTTAAACTAGGATTTAACAGTAACATTCAATCTTTTAACATTTTAGTCGCTCAATCCGCTGATCAGCCCCGAACACCACGACTTTTGGGATGTGGATTGGTGATGTGTCACGAATGCTGCGAGAAGGAGAAGTCGTTGGCGAAAAGGGAGAGAAAACATCGATGCAATAGCGTGTACTGTTTTGAAAACCCAAAGTTTGCACATTTTTTGATTGGTGGGTTCATTTTATTAGTTTAAACTAGAAATAATTAGAATCATCAGCAAAAAAAGTGTAACAAGTTTTAGATGTTTTGTCGCTAGACTCTTTGACCTTCTCGCAGTCGGGTCATGGATACCTTCTGCTGAAGGTTGCAATCTAATTTTGATAATAATGAAACTATTTTAGCCATTCAAAATTCCCGAATGTCTCATTTGCCACGATGAATGTAAGATGACTCTGACATAACCTTTAAATATCGGTTATTTTAGATTCAAGCAACATTGAAGCAAAGAAGTCATTTCTCCTTACTTGCACTCATATGATTTGCACGGAATGTTATCTGAAGATGAGGAAATACAAGGAATATCTGAGAAAATACAGTATCACTTGCCCATTATGCAACGAGGGAACTCTTGCAAACACGGATGGATTGAAGAATCTATTTCACGGTATAAAAGCAAAGCTTAGCGTTCAAACTTGATTTAGATTTTCTGGATGAGTTACCCGAGATGACCCGTCAGTTGGATTCAATGGGAAAATTGTGTAGTTGCAAGGAGTGTTGCAAAATGGTATAGTTGCAGTTTTAACTTTTAAAGGTCTTTTTAGGGTATCACTGAAGAAATGGTTCACTGCTCCAGTTGTACTTCCGAGGTGAGTAGTTTAACGGCGGGCATTGTATGTCATCTTTTTAGGTTGTGTGTGCTTTTACGAAACATCGTTCACCTGAGGCCATTTCACTCATGGAAAAAAGGGTATCGATTTAAATTGCAAAATTTCGGAGAAGAAAAAGCTTGTTGTTAGGCCTGTGAGTTGAACGTGGAACAGCAAAAGGATTTAACCGAGGTCTGTGACAAAAATAAAAGCTTCCTCGAAGGGCACAAATGCGATGGTGCCTTTTTTCAGGTAACTTTTCGAGGTAATTAATCCATTTATATGATTCATTTTAGAAGTTACTAGGAAACGAAATGTGCTTCACGAATGTTTTCAATTTTGTTGAATTTCGGAAAAAACACGAACTATTGACGTGAGTTTTTAATTTGGCTTAAGCCAAAGAAATTTTATGTTCAGTAAGTCGCTGGCGGCTGTGGAAGTTTTTATGGAAAATTATCAATCCCATTTGCTCCAACTTTCTGTCGACATTATGGTGAGTTCGGTTCTTATGTTTAATTTGCTATGTAATAATTTGCTTTTAGGCGTTGAACGAAACTCTTGACATGGATCTGAATAATTGAGGGATTAGCGAATTGGGCGCTTTTCGTGGAAAGCTCGACGAACATTGTATTTTGTATTTTGCTGAACGTTTTCATTTTTACACCTTTGTGTTTTATTTGTTCGCTTTTCACACTCTGTGTTTTCTTTCTTAGTTATTGCAGTTTTAAATAAATTTGGTTTGGGATACAGTCGAACTTCGATATGGCGAACTCCGTGTTTGGTTCCGGTTAAACAAAACGTTGAGAAACAAGCTTCGAAACAACGAACGTTTTCTGGATAAATTACCGTAGACTTAATTTCCTATCACGAATTCTTTGCTGATATCTGGATAAAGCGGAATGGATTTCAGAAGCAATCGAAGCATTATTAGAAGCAATCGATGATGGAGGAGTCACAAAAAGGGCACGACTCAAGACGAGCAAGTACGAGCTTATTGAGAAAGGAGTGCTTACTTGGTTGAAACAAGCTCGAAGCCAAAACGAATGCGTGGATGAAAACATACTTCGTGAAAAAACGATGGAGTTGGCAAGAATTAAGGGAGTTACTGATTTTCAAGCGAGTGGCGGCTGATTGAACAAATTTAAGAAGCGACACAGAATTGTTTTTCGAGCACTACAAGGAGGAGCTGCCGAGGATAAATCATGGATGATAGGTGAATTATTTGAGAACTATCTTAGAAAATGGAGCCAAAAGTTCAATCGGAAGATTCTACTTTTTCTTGATAATTCCCATGCTCATCCAAAACTCGTTTGATCAAACATTCGACCGCAATTCTTCCTTCCAAATACGACAGCTGCTATTTAGCCGAGGGATATGGGAGTTATCAAAAATCTCCAAGTATCGAGGCTTTTTGATGAAGCGGAGTATCAACGCAAACCTTTTGGAGAGTTGAGCGAGATTGAGCCGAGCCGAGATGGGTAGACGCTCGGCTACTCCACGCATCACATCTTCGGTCGGCATTTGGATTATCTCCTAAAGAAGGAGGCTTAATATTGTACGTAGAAGTGACTCTTTCTGATATTTATCAAATCCGGGTTTAAATTAAGACACCAGTAAAAGAAGAAACCGAATCGAGAAGAGAAGTTGAGAAAGAAATGAATTTGAAAAGAAATGAATTTGAAAAAGAAATTCAGATTAGATGGAGGCGTATGCAAATTTTAATATGTAAATTTGGCCATCAGATATCAATTAAAACTCAGTGAAATGAGAAAAAACTTATTGGAAGACAAAACTAATCAATCAAGGAGAAACACAAAAAAGGCCCAGATTATTGATGAGGAATTGATCTCCATTGTGAATATTCTCAAAAATGGGATCATTTTGGTCAAACTGACAACCATTCAATCTCTGAATTCGGCCACCGGCACAAAAATTCGCGAATTCTCGTCGAATCCTTTCCGTTTTCGGCGATTCCTCTCGAATAGGCCTAACCAAGTGATTTTCTCTCATAAAATCGAGAAGTTGCTCTTTCAAGTTCTCCACTCTTTCCCATGAAACCATGAAAAAGAAAGAAATCGGTTTTTCCGTGACCAGAATGGAATCTCGAAGGAATTTCTTCACATTTTCCCTGAATTTTTCCAAAAGTGATCCAAAAATGACAGTCTTTGCTTTGAAGATAATATTTTTCCAATATTGTTCCTCATTTTGCCGTTCAATTGTCCCGATTGGCATTTCAAAATCACTACCAAGATTCATTGAGATTTGGGATAGGATTTGCGGATGAAAATCCCTGAATAACCATTTTAAATTATGTGATTTCGTGATTGCTAAAGGGAATTCGAAATTCTCGATGAATTTCACTCGAATCGGCATTTCCCCGAAAGTTTCCTCGTTCAGGGACGCGTGAAAGTTTCTGACAAAGCGAATTTTCGAGAATAGATTCCCGAAAACGTGGTCCCTTTTTTCGTAGTTGAAAGTCCATTTTTGCACGTTATACCTTTGAAGGGTAAACTCTTCAATATCGAATCGTTTTCTTATATAATCATATTTGAAATAGATTCTCTTTTGCCAATTTTCAATTCTTATTGCTTTCTTTTTCACGTAAAGCTCCCCTTGCGAACAATATGTCTGGCTCATCCAAAAGTCGACAAATTCGAGCGACTTTTCGTGAAATGGTCCATGGAATAAAATGAACAAACGAAGGGATTTGTTGATTGAGAGAAATTTTAGAGAATCGGGAAAAGAAACTTTTGAAAAAATCGAAGATTGGAGGGAAATCGGGAGGTGATTTAGGGGGAAATGTAGCATTTGGGGGTGGATAGGTGAATGTTTAATGAGAAATAGCTTTTGCAAATGTTTCTTTTAACGGAAAAATATAGACAGATGGCCAAGAAGAATTTCCCGCGCTTTGGGGGCAATTCCTGATTGGGCAGATGTGTTTTTACAATTTTTACTTTTTATGCAATTTGACTTGTTTACCGTTGTCCTAGACGAGTTCTAAAAATAGTAAATGAGTGCTACTATTAGAGAGATTTCCGTACTCTCACGAATCCACAATTTCGCAACGATTTATCAATCTTCCTGAAAATATTTACAAGCAGAAACACTATAAAAAACAACACAATTTGGGCAAAATCTTCATTTTACCCCAAAAAAACAATAATTCCACAAACAATTTGAAATTCAAAGTTTAACGACACTAAAGTAATCTAAAACCCGATAGAACATGAGAAATTAACAGGAAAACTTGGATGTTCTAATATAAAACCCTATCTCTAAAAGAATTCGACCACTAACTAACTTTAAAATCTAAAAACTAAAAGCCCTACTAACCTATAACCTACAAATTTCCTTGTTTTTCGATCAATTTCTTTGGTGGGGAGGTTTCTTGATCGGCAATCTGAACGAATTAAATCTTAGCAATTATTTTTAACATTCGGAAATCGGTTTCTAATCATGCATGTTACTCGTAGTACTCAACTAATTGTAAGATACTTGTCGATCAAGTAAATCTCACCTCTTTGCTAAATTTGATCATTTCACTTTGTAGTATACTCTTCCATTCTTCTCGTTCATCCAAATTCGGCGGTAATCTCAATGTTCTTTTCTCTTTCGGCAACATTTTCGGGTCGACCGGTATCGAGTCTTCCGTCAATAGCTTGGCCTCGTGTTGCAGGATTCGTTCAACCTAGAGATAGATCTTTTAGTTATTGATCGTTAGCTCTTGCTTCTAAGCTTCTTTATCGAAAAAACTCAAAAATCTCACTTGTTCTCCCCATAAATGTCCACTTGGTGATCCAAGTAACATATGCCTCAATTTTCCACCCGATAATCGATCCAATTTCTCGAATTCCACCTCATCCATTTCGGGGATTTCCCTTAATGGAAATTTTGAATCAAAAGAGAAACCTTCTAATTGTTTACCTTCTAATAGTTGATGTCATAATGGGTCGATCCTCATCATCAACAGCTGTTCTTTCGTTAATCGAGCCATTCAAGTAAAAGAGGCGGCCATTATCGTCTTCAGCAAAGGCGTTTCCTAAAATTTTTCGGTTAGTTAGCTAAAAGCTATGATAGAGTTAAAGACTAGAGTAGCAAAACTAACCTCTAGCATCTTGTACCACTCTCGGATTTTCCAAAAGTCTCGTCTCAGCCTCCAAATTCTCCATTTGTTCCACATAGTCAACGCCGAGTACCGTCAAATTTGGAATCGCTTCTTCAAGTAGGAGAGCTGCTTGACCAAGATCCTAAATAGTTAAGGATTTTGATTTTTATAAATTAAACCCCACTTTAACATGTGACAGTCCTTCAAGGCGCAAATAACGCAATTTGTTCAAATGCTTTAAACCCATTAGACCTGAAAATTGGTAAAGTTACTGTTAAAGTTTGTTCACTAACCTTTTGCACTGATTTTATAACAACCGGACAAATCGAGCATCTCCAAATTTGGCATACTTCCTAAATCAAAGTAGATTTAGAAACTTTATCCAAACAGACCTCCAATTTTTCCCATTACCCAATCATCGATGTATTCACAATTGGCAAGTCGTAGCATTCGTAAATGACTTAAATCGTGAAGGTTTTCAAATCCTGAATAAAAACATGAAAATATCCAGTATTTTTATAAACCTTCAAACATCAACTCAGTGCCAGATGCATCAATGGCTTCAATGAAGAGACCCGGGACTTTACGGCCAGGAAGACTGTAGCCCTGAAAAGAAAATGTTGTATTTCACTAAAAAGTCAGCATAAGAGTATGTGGGTCCATTATATAATATCTTTTTAAACATTCTCCTAACCAAATCCCACCTTTTTATCTCTTTTATACCAAATATCGTCATCCAGAAATTTTATCGCCGCTCCTCGATGAACAAGAAAGTGAGCTGCCGCCAAGTCGGGACCAAGGAAAAGTAATCTTTCAGGGATCATTCTAAAATTGAAATTGAAATACGAAAGCTGTAAACTTAAACAATTTGTGAAATCTTTATTTTAGGACGAAATTCTCACCTCTGATCATATTGCAAATGTTGAAAATGGGTGTATCTCTTGAAACGTCGAATATTGTCAAATGAGTGATCAAGGTAGCGCATTTGAGTGTGATTTGTGTGCAAATCAACCGGAAACGCTCCCGTCTCCTTCCTCGTCATATCGGCCAAATCTTTTGGTGGCATTACTAAAGAAAAGTTTAAGCAGGAAAGTGTTGAAAAGAGCTCACCATCTTCAGGTTTTTCTGGTGTCAAATACATATCACCAAATCGTCGATGATTCTTCATTCGTTGTTTCTGATCATAATCGCCTTTCATCTCGTTTTCGAGCTCTTGCCATCTAAAATTGATTAATCAATGAGATAAAATTAATAAAACAAATCTAATAATATATTTTAAAGTTTAAAAAAAGCTAGTTGAGTCTTTTATCCAAAGTTTTCTAGATAGGTTCATCGAAATACCTCATAAATCGTGGCCATTTGTGTACCCATGCCTGTTTTCGTCTCGTTTGAATGATTGCCGGAATCCTCAAATGGATAAACGATTTTTTCATGCCTGAAATTTAACCATTTTGGGAGAAAAGTCGACAATTT